CGATTGTTCGTTTTATGTATTACTATTATTAGCCTTATGTTTGGTGGCAAATACGTGGAATTTCGTATAATTTTCTCACTCCAGCACAGCATATTAAAGCGTCAATACATTTGAGGTTGACCCCCCGTCAGATTCACTGCATAATCCCACGATCCGCTCTACAGTTTCAGATTCAAGTTTCAGATTCAGATTTGAATATGAAACGGGGGTACAAAATGTGAAATTGCTCAGTCTCTTTTCACGGAATAAACGTAATTCATCAAGGACATCCATTATCAGACTATTGCGCATTTGACAAAACTATACTTTAATTTTTAGCTCATAACGTGAAGCCAGGAAAAATCGCAGAAACTACACGACCAACGCGTAAATTCTTACTGCGCCATGTTTGTCTTGACTTGTCGACAAACTTATATTTCGCTTTGTATCGTAAAATACGCGTGTAGTTCCCTAATTTCTGAAAGACATTCATTAGTACACTGTAGTAAATCGTATAAAGCAAACTAGGTCTTAAAAACGTTAGTTGTTTTCTCAGGAAAAATCGCAAATCATAGATCATGAGATACGGCTTTTGTAACCTGAAGCGAACGTCAACAACGCAGCTGTCGAGAGAATAAACATTTCTCACGCGTCGCACGCTTAGTTTGGAATATTCGTCTGCGAAAGACATTCATCTACAACTATCACAAAATGATACAACGCACTTGTTATTTTCAAACAGCTTGTTGTTTCGGCAGGAAAAATCGCAAAGCACAACCAGTGTTGGAATCGAAAATCCGGGTGGGCATTAAGACTATCATCACAGTTCGTTTAGTCTGATATAAGCGACGTTTTGTTTGTCTTCACACTGAATCTTAGCCAGTTGACTGTAAATTATGCTGAAGTTTGAATTATGTCAAAAGCAGTCCAATACCTTTTGCAAAAGACGTCTTGGAATCAGTGGCGTAGCCAGCCCGACAATTTAGTCCCGCTATGCAAATTCAAAGTTATTATCATTATTCATTTCTTTAGAAATTGATTGTTTTTACAGTCAATGAACATGAAAATATTTGCATAGCGGGACCAAATAGTCGGCCTGGCTACGCTACTGCTTGGAATCGTTTTATGAAAAAACGATAGGATGTCAGCCCCCCCGGATAGTTTTGTTTAAGATTCAAATTTCATGTAGTTTCAGATTCGAGCTGAAACAGCGTTAGTCTGCGTAAATCCTTCAACCACAGCAACTGTATAAACCGGCAGATATAGTGCAAAGAAAGACATTCATCTACATTACTGTGCGCTTAATTTTGTGTGGTTTTTATTGCGATTCAGCAAACCATGTCCGCAGGAAAAATCGCAAAAGATTGTTATTTTAGACTGCTCTTGTACATGCAGACATGGCTTGTCAAACAGTTGTTGTTGTATTAGTCCTCATTTTTTAATAGATAAAGGCGCGTTATCAACCTTTTCAAGGAGGACATCTTTTAATGCATTAAATCCAATGATATGAAGAAGTGTAAGAGTTTGAAACACTTTTCTGTAGCTCAGGAAAAATCGCAAAACACAACAGACGAGTTGTAGATTTTACAACCTGAAGCAAAGGTCAGCTGCAAAGTGAACCGAAGAAATGTTTCTCACGCGGCATGCTTTAAATTTGCAAGATTCTTTTGCCAAAGACATTCATCACCGACTATCATAGAATCCTATAACGCATTTTTTATCGTCGGACAACTCGTTGTTTGGGCAGGAAAAATCGCAAAACACAACATGTGTTGAATTCAAAAATGCGGGCGGGCATTAATACTTTCCCAAAAGTTCGTTTAGACTGATATACTGACCAAGTATAATTTGTCTTCACAACAAATGTTCACTAGCTGACTAGGAGTTATGACTAAATGTTGATATGCTCAAAAACGGTCCTGTACTTTTCGCAGAAAAGGGTTTGGAATCGTGTTATGGAAGGACGATAGGATGTCAGCCGCCCCCGGATATTTTTCATTAAGATTCAAATTTCATGTAGATTCAGATTCGAGCTGAAACAGCGTTAGTCTGCGTAAATCCTTCAACCACAGCAACTGTATCAAACCAGCAGATACCGCAAAGAAGGACTTTCATCTACATTATTGTGCGCTTCATTCTGTCTGGTTCTTATTGCGATTCGGCAACGCATATGCGCAGGAAAAATCGCAAAAGATTGTTATATTATACTCACTGAGATTGTTATTATGAAATTTGAATCTGAAACAATAAAATCCGGGGGGTTGATATCCTATCGTTCTTCCAAAGAACGATTCCAAGCCCTTTTCCCGCGAGAAATATTTGCCTAATTTTAGAGTATTTTAAACTTGACCATAATTTACAGTCAACTGGTGAAGATTCACTGCGAAAGCAAACGAAACTTCGCTTATATCAGACTAAATGAACTGTGATGAAAGTCTTAATTCCCGCCCGGATTTTCGATTCCAACAGCGGTTGTGTATTGCGATTTTTCCTGCCAAAACAACAAGCTGTTTGAAAATAACAACTGCGTTGTATCATTTTGTGATAGTTGTAGATGAATGTCTTTCGCAGACGAA